TCTGTTGCCTTTCTCTTTCCTTCTTACTTAACTGTCTTTTTCATTTACCGGCATCTTGCTTTGATTTTAGAGATGATATGAAATGGCTCATGATCATTGGCACAGGTATTTCTGGATGAAAAACTGTTTGGGATGTGTGTGCAGAGTGGCTTCAGGTGGTGGCTTCCCTGTAAATCACCTTGCACGCCTGTTTTCCTGAGATCCCAACTGAGAGTCTCTGGAGGCCTTTTCTCTGGTCTAGTCCATTCTCCCGGAAAGAAATCTGCCTGTGGTTAGGTGTGGCAGGCGGGGAGACGTGTCAGCCTGGCCTGCAGGCCAGGACACTCAGATCCGAGTTCAGGTGGGGGCTGCGCTGTGTTTCCACATCCACTGGTTTTAGCCCCACCTGCGCTGTCACCAGCAGAGGGGACTAGTGCCTCTAGCCTTTGCTCTCTGGGATTCTGCAGAGTGGGGCTGCTTAAGTCTGGGAAGGTGTTTTGGCTCTCCTATCTGCTGAATTATTTACCAACCCTGTTTCCAGTGTCCACACATTTATTTTATTATTGTCATCTCGTTTTCCAGGTTCTTCGTCCTTGTGAGATTATGATTCTGCCTCGCTCCCCGGTCATTTTCCAGGAAGTATTCAGAGAGGGAAAGGTGGAAAATATGTTGCAAATGCCATTTTAAAAAAAATCTAATATTCCCTCTATACGTTGAAAAACTTACGTAAGGCCAAATGTAAGCCAGGCACTCAGCTCTTCTCTTCTTCATTTATACATAATAACAACTACAAATACAATAATAACCTACTGCATGGGGCTATCCTGAGGAGTAGGTGAGAAAAGCAGGTAAAGCCTTGAATTTGACTATGATGTTGGTGAAACAATGAGGACCAAGCAATGCAGAGCAAACAGCATGTGCCAAGCCCGGAGGAGAGGAAAAGGTCTTCCCTGCAGTCCTGGCATGACCAGCAGCATCAGCAGGGCCCAGAAACCTGTGGGATATTCAAGCACTCTGTCCCCATCCCAGACGGACAGGAACAGAAACTCTGAAGGTGGCTCTGAAATCTGCCCTTTAACACAAAATTTATAAGATTCTGATGCCCACGGCAGTTTGGGACCCACTGATCTAGACACGAGAAAATGGACTCCTTTCACTGGAGGTGCTAGCTGGGCACCACCCGCAGTCACTGGTGTGTCTCAGGTACTAGGGGAATGAGACCAGCATTTAAATAACAGCAGAGGTTTGCGAGATGAAAGCCAGAGAAGAGACAGGCTTGTACAGGGAAGACCTCCTTCTAGGCCCGGCGGGCCCGTCCTGCAGCCGCATCTTCAGCTGTGAGCTACACCAGGATCCTGCCTAGCAACATAGGTCAGTAGGATGCTTCCCCCGCCCCCACATGCACCCTGCTTTGCTTGTTTTTCTGAGGCCAGTTGGAATCAAGTGTCTGGCACTTGGAATCCAAAGGATCCTGACAAATATCAGACCCTTCCTTTTAAGAAGCAGAATGAACCTGACCTTCCCAGGTTGACCATCTCCAGCATCATAGGAGTGGTGGCCAAGGGTGACTCCCAGTGGCCGGCCAGCTAGTAGAGTCTGCCAACAGGGCTCTGGCCTCGACAGGTTTCGCAACGCTCTGAATTCCGTGTTTCCTCTGCTTACATATTATGGACAAATATGGACATGTTTATACATGCAAGAGTCAAATGGAATCAATTTACCTCGTTTTGGTATTTCAAGATTTGGTGAGCACCTCCATATTCACCCTGTTTGTAACTGTCATGATTTTTTGCATTTTCATCAGACTCTTTGTTCTTCCTCTTATCTCGCTTGATCTTTCTCAACTTCACAGAGCACTTGCTTGTCATGGAGTGAGACTCATAAGATCTGCCTATAGTTTAAGGATCCCTAAACCTAGCTGAGCATTAAAATGACCTGGGAGATTTCTAAACCTATAATCTGCACGCCCCACTCCAGACCCAGCACACCTCTCTGAGCCATTTTCTGCGCGCACACACGTGCACGCACATACACAAATACAGTGAAGATATAATAATACACATATACCTACATATAAAAATACACATATAAATATTATAATAAAAATATATAAATACAGACACATATATACATCTCTCGGTGAAACTAATGACCCTATCCACATGGCTTCATCTGCGTTGCCCTGAAAATTATGTTTTCTTAATATGAAGAATTTCATTGTCTGCTTCCTTAACAATGAAATGGTGACAGTTGAAGCATGAATATTTCTTTTTTTCTGAGAGTTACACCATTCAACAAAGCTAATTTTTCATAGAGAATCATTGTAACTGAAGCTCTCCTCCTCCAGTCTGCAAAGTAGCCACAGAAAAGGTCACAGAGACAACACGGTCTAACATGGAAAGAGCAAATACCTGTCGTCATGTGGGTTGCCCCTTCCTTCTGCTCTCATGAACTGTGGACTCTTCCCTCCTGAGCCTGAGAAGGCCTTTTCTCAATTCAGGGCTTCTGCCAGTCCAATGGGGAAAACACAGATGCTGTCACCTAAAACGTTCTGGTTTAAAGAGGCCTGGGTCTTAGTCCCAACACTGCCATGGTCTAGGAAAAACTTCTCTCTTTTGACTTCATCGTTTTTAGAACAGAGATTAGCCCTCTTTTCTTTTCTTCCTTCTCAAAAGGTGGGGAGGGTAAAATGAGATTTGTGAATATAGGAAATTCAAAATCAGGCCCCCGAATATAAGATCAAATTTGGTGGGTGAGACATTATACTAAAGAGGATATAAACAAAGCAGAATGTTGTATCAAAGGAAGGAATCCCACAGTTCTGAAGCACATGTACCTAGATGGTCAAAATTTCACTTAAAATCCCTAGTCCAAGGGGAAAAAATGTATCCATTTCAAACAGTTTTGATAGTTTTAGGCAAATGGAAACTCTCAAGTATTGACAAACAGAAGATATAAATGTTACAGTGGAGCTATACAATAACCACTCTTTTCGGAAGTACCCTTCAAGTTTTGAAATAGAATGTGGATATTACATATGCCAATGAAATAATATTAAGAGAAAATACTTGTATAAATAAAGAAAAGCAAAACCCTATTCATAAATAATAATGAAGCATAATACCGGTCAGCAATCAATATTAAAAAATCATTTAAATCAGAATAAGCATAAAATAGAATTCAACATAAATCAACATAAATCAGAATTCAACCTGAAAGCAAAACTTTAAGCCAGGTTCGATGCACATAATGAACGTGTCCTGTGATTCTAAAGGTAATAATTCTAGAGGTAGCTAACATTTACTGAGTGCTAACTCTATGCTTGAGATATATGCATTATACATTATTTCTTTATATATATATATATATTTTTATACATTATTTCTAATTTAATCCTTACTCAATCTTCTGAAATAAATATAGTAACTGTTTCCATTACACAAATGATGCAGGGTTAAAGAGATTAACTAACTCACCCAAAGTCATGCTTATAGTAAGTGGTTCACCCTTAGATTGAACGCCAGCTAGCTTGACTCCAAAGACCTCTCATGAGCGAGCGAGCAGGGGGAGGGCAGAGGGAGAAGCAGACTCTCCACTGAGCAGAGGGCTGGACACAGGACCTGGGGCTCCATTTCAGGACTTCGATATCACTTCCTCAGCAGAAGTCAGACACTTAATCGACGGACACACTCAGGAGCCCTGCTTGTAAGCCTCATCTTTAAATGACACTTACATGGAGCCTCTAGCCCACGAGTACCCCCTGGTAGTATGGGGGTTTCCCCCCTTCTTTACTGGATGAGGTGAGCTTTAGACATTTTCTTTTAAAGGCTGAGTAAATTAGTAAAATCACCAAATTAGTAAAACTTAGGAGGTGAACAATGAGAGACTATGGACTCTGAAAAACAATCTGAAGGGTTTGAAGAGGTGGCGGGGTGGGAGGTTGGGGGAACCAGGTGGTGGGTATTAGAGAGGGCACGGACTGCATGGAGCACTGGGTGTGGTACAAAAACAATGAATACTGTTATGCTGAAAATAAATTTTAAAATATGATCAATAAAAAAAAATAATGAAAAAAAAAGACTACCGTATTTTAAGCACAGTAGACCCCATACAAATTTTCTAAAAGAAAACCAAAGGAGGACAATGTAAATAAAAAATAATTAGAAAATAGAGAAAGGGAGAGAGGTAAAACCAGCAATATCCGAAAGAAGCAAGATCTATAAAAACTTAAGAGGAAAAAAGTTTCATATTGTTCTTTCTGAAGAAAACCAGGGCTTGTGTCAAAGGCCAGATTTTCAAGATATTTCTATATACTAAGGAACAATTAAGAATGGAAGGGAAATAGAAAAACAGCAACCTTCTCAAAATGAGGAAAGCTTTGCATATGTATATATTTAACCTGTGGCAGACGCTTTGTTGAGGAGCTGATAAGGAACCCCAAATTGTGGCAACTATTAATCCTACTTTTGTCTCTTCGTAATGTGAAACAAGTTCCAGCGTATTTTATTCCCTTTATTCCCAGATACTTCCAAACTAGCATTTTCCTCTTAGAGATATCTTCATCCTAACCCATTCCTGACAAATAAAGATTTGGAGAAGATTGCTATTTTCCTGCCAAAAATCCATTTACTCTTCTTCCTGGAACAGTCTGGGTGATATTCCCCAGTTAGATAAGACCATCTGACAAAATTCGGGCCAAGGGACAAGAGCAGAAGCGAAACGTGCCACCTCAGGGTGTGGGTGCACATTCTAGGAGGCATGGGATGGGCAGGGTGGTGGCCTGGCTTCAAACTCTCTCACAGCGACAGGGTCCTGGGGGATGTGTCTTCTTTGGAGCACAGCTGCCCCACCAGGCTGGCCTGCTCCCTTGGGAACAGTCAAGTGAAAAGAGAAATCAACTTCCGTTAGAAGCTTAGCTTAACTATTAAAATCACACTGTCTATTCCTGTAGGTTCCTGTTGCTTTCTAAAGCCGTCCAGCCCTCTCTCTGCAAATTGCCACACTTCTGAGCAGCACTGACTTCCGCCAACAGCCACTATCAATGCTGTGGAGAGGTAATGAAAAATCTGTCAGAGGAAATGACTGTATATTGAGAAGTTCAACACACATCTTCAATCTCTCTTCTAATTCTGTCCTAGAATTCTGTAGACTATGCAGTGATTGAGGTTTCCGTTTCAGGTATCTACTGTTTATTGAGATAGGAGCGTTGTTTAGATTTTAAGTAAAAAAATCTGTTAACTCCCTCTAGGTCTGGCACTTTTCAGCAAGATGACAAAGACAGTGAAGTGACAGCTAAGAACTTCCTCACGGTGTTCTCCCACTTCTTCATTCCTATTACATCACCACGACAGGTCAAATTTCACTGTAAGAAACAAAAGGTGAGAATGTCTCCTGTTGGTCCTTAGAACTGAAGGCTTTATTTGAGTTTATTTTACAAATTGGCTGCACAGGTGTTACGCGACCCACTGGTATAAATTTCCTTTACAATTACCTACTTTGCACACCACCCTTTTGTACCTTGATAAGCTACAAAATACAAGCACGGAGTCTACATTTACCCAGGGGAGACATAACGCACATTCATTACGGGACTATACAGGAGGAGTTCAAAAGACAGTAGTCACGTTTGTACTAGATCTGTCTATGTGTACTGGAATTTGGAATCTTCGATGAAGAACTGATGCTTCAATGACCTCATAATTAGCCCATCTTGGTGAACCAGAAAACTAAATAGGAAAAGCAAAAGGAAGGCACTGGCAGGTACCTACTAAAAAGGATTATGTATGGCAGAGAGGAAGCAAAGTATTAGCCAGGCAAGGACAAGTCAAGCACAGTTTTGAGGACTGATAGATAACCTCCCGTTGTCTTGTTTTGTTTTTAACAGAGCGCTGCATACATTCAGAGGTCCCTTAATCGGACAAACTCACCATTTCCAGGATACCACCACAGAATGCAAAAAAGACAAAGATGAAAGCAAAAAAAAAGCTGTCTCGTTGACCAAAAACTAAAGCTTATACACGTTCCTCATAGCAGAGCATCCTAGTCTCAAATTAGAAACCATTTCCTATGATCTTAGAGTCAATTCTGACAAGCACGCTTGTTGGTGTGTTTAAGACAACCTAGGAAATCATGATGGGCTGTAGGGAGGAGACAGGAAAAGTATAAAACACAAAGATAACAGTCCTAGCGCTCTGAGGTCCTTTAAACTACAAAGGGACTGTCACACCTCAGCAATCTGCCAAGGCTTCCGGGCCATCCAGCCAGGCCATCACGAAAGCCCTTAGTCATTAAAGGGAGATTAAACTATATTTAGTTATTTTACAAAGGCAAATCAGTGCACCATAGATTGCTTCTTAAAAGAATTTTATCAAAAGCAGTTTTGTTTTATCTTTTACACATAAATGGACTGTTCAATTAGAAAACTCACTTATGAAAACCAGGCTAGCTAGAGTTTTATGGGATGACAGTGAACTCTCTCTCTGACCTCTCCTCGTAGAATAACTGTCGCTGACCTAATTTACAGCATGAGGTAATAACACTGCTTCTTTTCCCCCAATAGATCTGTTTGGATCTGATTTGCGGGCCTTGCCCACGCCCCACTGACCAATGGCGTAAGCCTGCTGCCCGTGCTGTTGAACACAACAGTCCTAAGCTTGCTTGAAATCAGTCCAGCATTTCCTTCCCAACCGGGCTGGAGAAAGGAAACAGCAGAACCAGGAGTTGCTGCAGACTGGACTTGAGGTAGGTGCAACCCCTAAAGTCAGAGCAAGTCCCTTCAGGCGAAGCAACACTTTTACTGTCACTTCAGGTTAATGGAAGTTCGATTTTTAAATAATGTTTCTTGGTTTAGTTCTCAAGATGTTTGGAAGACACAAAGATAGCATCAAATTCAACTTTTTGGGTTTCAAAATCTATTTTTTTCATTACAGACTTTACTGCCTCTCCATAACACTACTTCTCTTTAAAATGCTTGGAATTACTTTGTTACTGGTAATTCCCAGTCATTGTCAACTCCATTTTTATTTGATTTCACATCCACCAAATAAGTATTTCCCAAAGCTCACAATTTCCTTCAAGGCATTCGTTGTTCATTCAACAAGAATGTACTGAGTGTTTATTCCGCTAGTTATTGGGTTGGAACGAGGGGATCCAACAGGGAACATAATATATAGTTCCTGTCTATTGTACTTAGTATATTTAGGGAATGAAACTGAATTAAATGCCATCCAGTTTTTTGGTGCCTCTTTGAGATGGTTATAGACACTCCAGGAATGTCAAAATAGTAATAAGGTGTGGACTAAAGATTTCATGTGACAAACAAGTGTTAAGTGTGAACACGTTACACATTTGAAATATACACTTGAATTTACCCAGTATGTTTACCTGCATATTAAATTATCAAATGTCCAAAGGTTTTAATCTATTTTTATTCTGTAACGCTTTTCCTCCATATGAGCACACTGAATACCGTGGTAACATTCTAAGAGCTCAACTTTCTCACCTTTTAGGGAAAGAGGGAAAACAAAATAAGTTTTAATGAAGCAGTGTGATTAGCTCAAGATCCATTTTTTAAAAAATACAGAAGTACGAAGAAAACACTGCAGCGTAAGGACTATTTACCCAAGCTGAGGCTAACCAATTCTGATGTTCAAGGAATCCTAAGGCAACTCCCCTCCTCTACAGAATATGGTATCTGAAGAAAGCCTTTCTGCCTAATGAAAATTTTAGCATATAAAACACATGGACTACAAGTTCAAAAAAATGTAATTAAAGAATCACATGTAAAAAAAAAAAGAATCATATGTACATGTCCTTCTGGGCCTCATCAGTAGGTTTACTGCTTAGTCCAATTAAACATAAAAATGAGTACGTTTTCTTAGAGAAATACGAGTGGAAAATGAACTAAAGAGTCAGGAAACTAGGTTTTTGCCAAAGTGTATAAGTATTATGCCATTTAATTTTTAAAAATGAAACAGTTGTTTAAAAAAAAAAAAATCACGCTGGGGCGCCTGGGTGGCTCAGTGGGTTAAGCCGCTGCCTTTGGCTCAGGTCGTGGTCTCGGGGACCTGGGATCGAGCCCCGCATCGGGCTCTCTGCTCAGCGGGGAGCCTGCTTCCTCCTCTCTCTCTGCCTGCCTCTCTGCCTGCTTGTGATCTCTCTCTGTCAAATAAATAAATAAAAATCTTTAAAAAAAAATAAAAATAAAAAAATTAAAAATAAAAAAAAAATCACGCTAATAGTGGTTTGTATCAGTTTTTATCCATAGACCACCTTAGTAAAATTTTCAAGTTAATAATATGATTTTCACACTAATTTCCCTGAAACCACAGTTGGATTGACTTAGAGATTTTTATCCTCCTCCCTAATACTTTCTGGGGAGGGGAATAAACTAAAGAAACTTTAGCTCACAGCCATCAAGTGTTTGCTTCATATAGTTTTGAGCCTCTTGGCTGCTATAAAGAGTATCTGAAGGAAGAAACTGTTTAGTAAAATCTGTTTGCTAAAAGGAAGTTAAGAGTCAACCACATTTCCAGCTCTTTGCCTGCTCATCTTCAGTGATCCAGGACTGCTGCTCATACATAAAGCTGGTACTGTGGTGGAGAATACATACTGAGCCTAAGGGAGTGGCCAATACTGCATTTCTCTTCAAAAAACCAAGCCATAGAAAGAGGACATTAAGACGCAAAAACCTCTTAGGCAAGACAACTAAAAAAACATGCTGCCATGCAATACCACCTTAGGATTCATTACATTTTTTTAAACATCCCACCCTTGAGAATCTATATCAAGGACTTGCGATTCTAATTTGAAAATGAAACAGAACCCAGAATTTGTTTCTTCGAAACAGCAGTGAGCTTCTAGATGGCTTTTTGGGAAATTCTATCTAATTGGTCTATCCATTTGTGTTAAGTTCTAAGCATGCCCAAATTTTATACATGTCTTAAATAAAGAAGGAAAGCAGCATATTTAGATAGGTAATTCAAATAAAATAATTTCTTTCTCAAGTTAATCAGTGAACCCATGAAGTAAACCTCTTCGTACCCCAAAAAAACAGAGATGCATGATTAGCTAACATCTAAAAGAAATTCACTAATTAACATTTAAAGGAAATTGTCCTGATAACTAATGGCATTCTTCCAAAAATGTGGTTAAACGATGAACTCAAGTTTAAATGTGTCTATAACCATGAAATATAAACATATGAACTATCAACTGTAAAGTAAAATATCCGAACTAGCTGTTTTTATTCTACAATAAACAAGTTACCCAGATTATGTCTACAGGTGTACTTACCCACTAAATCCATTAACACATCTCAAAATTAAGAGATTCACATGGTCTCAAGATGCCAGACTGGATAAAAATTACAACACTGTTTTGGTCACCCTCTGAAACATTTAAATCTGTGCTGAGAGTAAGTGAAACACAAAACTATGCTACTTAAACGCTGTGCTGGTTAACGTAATACTTGCATCTCTCTATTAGCCACGGTACTCTAGTTTTAGACAGGAATTAGCATTAGAAATAACGAGAGCAATGTCCTGAGTTACTCCTTCTTTGAAGTATAGTTAAGTAAGATTTATCCTTTGAAATTACTAATGATTTTATCCTACCCTGTTCATGTGAGAACTTAAGAAATCCCCCTCAGAATTCCGTGACATCTTTACACATGAAATAAAAATGTATACATGTAAGAGATGCTTCTACAAGTGTCACTTCTTAATTGAAAAACCACCTTGGCCAAAGAGACATTGTAAAAGTAAAATTATGCATTTTATTCATTCATTCCATCAGCTGAGAATCGCTCTATTGTACAAATACAGTATTGTACAAAAAAATCACAAAATGTTACAAAATAAAAAAGTACAAACTGCAGTACTTAATAAATATGACTAGTAGTTAAAGTGGAAATGAGATAGATTTTAGGTTGAGAACATTGTTTGACCCAGCAAACCATACAAGATTTGTTTACAGACATTTTTATTTGTACATAATACAGGGCAATCCTATTTTGCCTTTTGAAAGAATTTAAAAGGAATAAAATATTAAGACCGTATTCTCCTGCTATAGAACAACTGCCAAGGTTGATTTGAGGCATTTATGCTAGTAGTTTTTTTAAATCTTAGTTGAATCCAAGAAGCAGGAGGCTTATCTTGTCACAAAGTTAAAATGCTTTTATAACAAAATTTCAAATATAAATAAAAACAATTCAGAGCACCAGACAATCTACTCTAAATGCCAACCAAAGTACAGAATAGTCATAATAGTCATCACACTGCCATCTGCAAATATCAGATTCATTCAAGTAAGACCTGGTACTATCCCTTAAAGAATATTCTTCCCACAACCCTCCCTTAAATATTTCTCTTTAAAAGGTTGACCATTTCTAGAAAAATAATGATTTCCAAAACAAATCTGATTTTCATTATAATGGAATGGGTCAATCATCTGGTAACACAAATGCATCAATATCCATTTGAAATAATTATCTAAGGATCATAAAATCCAAATCGAACATAAAATACTAAATCACAAAGTCTGTCCAAAGGAATAAACTTCATATAAAGCACTTCTCTGGATTTATGCTGGAAAGCTGTTTGTCAACATGGAACACGTCATAGATGAAGTTACACCAATTTTTAAAAATGTGCAAAAATACATTTTTATAGAAAACGGATTACCAGGAATGACCAAATTTACACCGTGAGAAACGAGCTTGCAAATTAAGTAGTGCCAACTTTATACAGCAAATTATAAACAGCAGTAGGATCACCCAAAGCCATCATGAAACATCATTTAGGTGCCCAGCAACCTTCAGCTCTGAGGAGAAAACATTCAAAAAAATGATTAAGGCATTACACCTACGGTAAATCTACTAGAAGTCTGAAAGTGCTATTACCCTGATTAGAGTTCGTAATTCTCCCAACACATTATGTATGCAATTCTCCCAGGGTGTACGTTTTCAGACACTTCAAGAGCATGCATTTTGTTCAATATACATTTTGGACAGGGATATGGCCATGGATTTGGCAAGTTCTTCATCGCGTTTTCTTTGCACCTGAGTCTGTTTGCACCAATTGTCATACTCTGGGTTGGGGTAGGAGTGATCAAACACCGCATCATAATGTCCATTACTGAGCCAACTGAGCCAAATACTAGGCCTTAGGGAATCCTCTGGGCCCAAATAGTGAATCATGGTAGACACCGTAGGGCTCTCCAACCTCCCTCCAGTAGTTAAATGTATATTCACATTCAGCATCTGCCCCATGGCCAGCAATTCCGGGTACCCGGCCCACGCCCCGTCTTGAGCAGCATTGATGATGAACTCCCCCACGTCGCCCTCAATGAGGGGGCTAAAGTGGTCGAGATGATCGGCAATGTAATGCACCGTCTGCTCCCTCAGCTCCCGGTGAAGGCTCTGGTCTCCGTACACCGTCTTGCTGACCGCGCGGTAGAGGCAGTTGCCGTCGGGGATGATGTGAAATCGGTACTTATTCCTCTGTCGCAGGTACTTGTCCTGCCTCTCCACCTCCGCCAGGTACAGGGCCAGTTTCTCGTCTCTGGGATCCGACCTGGAGACGATCGCTGCCTCGGCCGCGGCGCTCGGGACCGCCTCGCCGCTCCGCGGCGGGGGCGCCTCCGCCTCCAAGTCCGGCCGCCGTGCTTCGTCCGCGCCGGGAGGGTCGCTGCGGTCGCCCACCTTCTCCCAGCCCCGGAGGCTCCTCTCCGCCGGGTGCTCCTCGCCCCACGGCCCGAGGCTGGGCTCCGGGCTCCCCGGGGGCGGCGCGGGGC